ATATTGCTGTACACACTTAATAAGCATTAACTCATCCTCATAAAATCCTATGGGGATTATTATTCTCAATTTTCAAATGAGGAAATTGAGATGTAGAGAGGTATAGTAGCTTGCACCAGTGCATATAGCCAGTTCAGGATCCCAAACCATCCAGCTCCACTGGAGACTGACTCTCATGATCAAATTCTTGAAGACTGGAGAAGATTTTTTTAACGAGTTGCCTTCTCCAGTAAAAAAACGAAAGTTACAAAGGTGACACTGTGTTTTCTTAATAGGAAACACCCATGCAGAAAAACTAGGAGAAAGGCTTAGTGGCATCCTTAACCGTGGATTGGTTCTTGTCCACAGAACATACTAAGGAAATAGTCCTGCTCAATCAGAAAAACTTATATTGAGGGCCCATTACATGTGAGGCACATTTAAGACAGATCTAGACATGGAGCACAGTGACTAAGCCAAATGTCTACTAATGAACCAGTTTAGTTTCCTAAATAACCTGCTCTGTTTCAGCCAAACTTTGGGGGATGAGGGTCTAAAAAAGGTATTTTTTAGAAGGCATTTTGTCAAGCATTTTTGTAGTTCATCTTTAACCCAGAAGATCTACAAGAGGGCAAAGTGGTCCTAGTCAAGGGGCAATCATTAGGTCCTGAGGAATGGGCTTTGCTAGAATCATCCTGCGTGCCTAACTTTGGAGTTATGTGGTCTAAGTGTTTCTCAGGGTGGGTTCTGTTCATGCCCTGCTTCAGCAACCTCATGTTAAGTGTGAGTTGTTGATTATTTTTGTACTGAAAGAAGGTTTGCTTAGGTCTAGTATTTTAAGTTTTAATGTAGCAAATTTTAGGACAAAATCCAGCTTGAAACAGATTGCTGACTATTTAAGAAGAGAGGCTGACTTAACTGGAACAAAAAAGAAAAACATTTCTAGATAGAAAAAAAAAGTTGGAGAAGGGGAGCAGTTAGAGTGGGAGAAAAACATATCTGTTGTAAAGAGCCAAGACACACAAATTAAGGAGAAAACATCTCCACCCAGCAGGAAACCCAACTGACTTTTAAAAAATACCACAGAAAAGGGGATGCTAGAAGTCTCCTCATTGTGTCATCTTAGCTAAGGACTTATAGAAGTTTAGGGCCTGAAGAAGTCAGGTCTGGAGGTGCCCATATCCTTGGTGGCACTGTTTGAGTTCCTGTGTGTTTCCAGCTTATGATGGCAATATAGTGACATAGAGCTCTGTAAGATTTTTTTTAATCATTTACGGAGAGCCAAAACACTCAGAACACACTGAAGAATAGCAGCTTTGCTCTGATGTCTCTGTGCAATAAGATTTGGATTTAGGACAACAAAAGCAATCCGTATTTTTAAGCCCAAGCAGCCAAAGAACAGACAGGAAATTCATAAAAAAAACACAGGGCTTTGCTAACATTGTAAATCCAAGACTGCTTTTTGTCACTTTGATGAGTGTGGTGATTCTTTAGAAATTTCTACAGTAGTCACAGGGAATGGGAAGAAATCACTGAGTGAAAATATAAGTGAGCTATCACTCACTGGGAAAATCAATGACTGATCTCATTACTCTAAGAATCACCAAGTGTGGTAAACCTTTGAATCAGAAAAACATGGATTGTAATCTGGGATCCTCCTTTATTTACTGTGTATTTTTGAATCACACACCATGTAATGTTAGCTGTCTGGGTATCCATGCCCTCATCTATAAAGTGGAGATTATATGCTACCTCACATGGTTATTGAGAGAATTAAATGAGGACATACAAGAAAACACTTAGCATGATGTGAGACATTAACCATTTCTTTCCCAGGATATCATGGTTTTACCATCCTGTATTTCTGCTGGATGCACAAGATATTTTAGATGATGTAATACATGTTTGGAAAATAGCAAACAAAATAACTCTTGAGTTTTGATAAACTTTATGAAATGTTTTAATAAAGCATTAAAAGTGGTCTGTCTTAATTTATTGCCCAATCTGAGCCTAACATCTTTGACACATATTCCAAAAAGTGAGCAAAAAGCCCATGTGAATTAAAAAATATTTATATTCACAGGCTGTGACACAATGGGGACTTTTTTCACATCTTTACTGATGAGGATCTCTATCACTAAATATGGTCTTACTCTATGCATCCTCTCTAACTTTCTTTTCTCATTCATGCCCTGTGTCTGACCCATGACTATCTATTTGTAACTACCTTACATCTCACAGGATAGAGAACCTAAAATAGAAACCAAAGGACATAGTGGTTGAAAGCACCAAGATCACACATGGGATAGTGACCGTTAAAGATGATAAGATCAAGGATGTAGCCAGGCACTTAGTCACAGGAAATAGGTGGAAGTAGGTAGCTATTATAAGAGGAGAGCGGAAGCTGTAGATCAAGGAACATAAATAAAATGAAAGGTAAGGTTCTTATATGAGTCGTTCACATGGAAAACAAAGCTTTATAGATTTTTTTTTTAAATTAGCAGTGTGTGATGTAAGAAAAGATGCAGGAATGAATTAGAGAAGAAAGAGGGAAACATTGAACTATTCTATATTATATATTCTTCTTTGATGAAAATTATCCCTCTTTTTCATTTCAATTACATTTTGATGAATTTAATGCTAATGAAATTGCCACGGGTCTCATGCCCTTTAAGTATATATTTGGCAGAAAAGAATACATTATAAGCACAGATTCCCACAAATCAAGAATGCGTATTTTTAATCTTCCTTCATTTTTGAAAAATACTTGATTTTTGGGGATTGTAGTTTTCCAAAAGGGGATTTTCCTTGGACAATGATTACTAATTATTACTCAATTATATATTATTGAATTGATTAAAATTCATGGAAACAGGATCGACTTATTATTTAATGTTTAATGATGAAATATCTAATACTGCGTTTGTTCCTGATGTGTACACAGCTACAATTTTGTTTTTATTGAATTAACCAATAGAGTCAGTATATTGAATAATAATCACAAATTCTGGGAGATAATGATCAATCTCTAGGAGGGCAGCCCTGCTAGTTCTGTTCTATCTCAGTTACACAAAACCATACAAATAGATGAATCAGTTTAATATAAAATTAATTGATGGACTGAAGTTACTATCATTTTATTTTAAAATGGCCAAAATAGTTATTCAAGGAGTCTTGGACTACATTTATCCATTGACAGAATCAAAACTATAAACCAACAATATATTCAGTTGTTGGTTTCAAAATACAAATAACTAGGCTGATTTTGGGTTTTAGCATATATGAATTTTAATCTCTTGAGTTCAAAACACTTGTAAACTTATAAGACTTGATTGTTGCATTTAAATTATGTATTTTCCTTCTTTTAGGTGGATCTTCTTGTTCCTACCAAAGTGACTGGCATCATTACACAAGGAGCTAAAGATTTTGGTCATGTACAGTTCGTTGGTTCCTACAAACTAGCTTACAGCAATGATGGAGAACACTGGACTGTATACCAGGATGAAAAGCAAAGAAAAGATAAGGTAAGTCATCCAAATGATTCAAGTTCAGAAGTGGAGGATCAAATGGTATCCAAGTTTAATTGAATGAACTGCTTATACATCTGTTCTGAAAATATCTACATATACTGAAAATGTATGTTAAATAAAAAGTTTTAAAGAATATTACTGTAAAAGAGTTTGTAGTCCAGTATGTAATGGTGCAACCTATAGGAAAAAATTGTTTTGATGATAACATTTTCCATATTATCAGTTCTCTAAGATCTGACTAAATAAGATTCACATTATATTTTATAAACTTAATAGAAGCTTGAATAATTTATCATAAGGAACATGTATATAGTTATTGTT